GACAATTCATGCTTATGTAATATATTGTGTAATGGATAAGCAGTTACTACAGCAATAGGATGACATTGAAAATAAGGCCTTAATTTTCTAGATGTCATGATTAATGCAAGTGCAAGCTTTTCCAACCAAGGGTACCGTGTCTCTGCATCTAACAAAGATTTGCTAACATAGTAGATCGGAGATTGTTTACCTTGGTCCTCATGGACTAAAACAACACATACCGCTACTTCTGAAATAGCAAAGTAGATGAGCAGTCTTTCCCCAGCCTTGGGTTTTGCGAGCAACGGTGGGTTTGATAAATATGTCTTCAAATTTTTGAGTGTCTGCTGAAATTCCTCGTTCTATTCAAAGTGGTCTTGCTTTTTAAGAGCTGAAAAGAATTTAAAACATTTTTCTGATAATTTAGAAATGAATCTTCCCAAGGCTGCAATTCTTCCTGTCAACCTCTGTACTTCTTTTTTGCTTGAAAGCATATTAGGAATTTCTTCAATGGCCTTAATCTATGCGGGATTTACTTCAATACCACGGTTAGAAATAAGAAAACCCAAAAACTTACCTGACGCTACACCGAATGCACATTTCTCTAAATTTAATTTCATATTAAATTTGCGTAAAATCTGAAATGTATCAAACAAGTGTGATATATGATCTTTCGAATGCTGAGTTTTAACGAGCATATCGTCTATATAAACCTCTATGGTTTTTTCCAGATGTTCTTGAAACATTTTAGTAACCAGCCTTTGATATGTTGCACCAGCATTTTTTAGATCAAAAGGCATTACTTTATAACAGTAAGTCCCCTTGTCTGTTATGAATGAAGTTTTTTCTTTATCTACCGGATCCATTTTCATCTGATTGTACCCTGAATATGCATCTAAAAAACTTAATAGTTCATGCCCTGCAGTAGCATCAATTAGCTGATCTATATATGGTAGCAGAAAAGAATCTTTAGGACAAGCTTTATTAAGGTCTGTGTAATCCACACAAACTCGCCACTTACCATTCTTCTTTGGAACTACAATAGTATTGGCTAACCAATTAGGATACTTTACCTCGCGGATGGATCCAATCTTTAGCAATTTTTGAACCTCTTCTTGAATCACCTGATTCTTGAAAGTTCCTTGCTTTCTTTTCTTTTGTTTGATAGGAGGGTACGTTGGGTCCTCATTCAATTTGTAAGTCATTACCTCCGGTGGTATTCCTGTCATGTCAGAGTGGGACCAAGAAAAACAGTCCACGTTAGTTTTCAAAAAATTCAATGAACTTACCTCTCGTGCCTTGGCTTAGATTGGCCCCTACATAGACTTTCTTATCAGGCCATTGTTCAAATAACATCATAGCCTCTAGTTATTCAATTGTTGTTTTGATATTTTCGTTTTCTTCTGGTTCTTGAATGGTATTAGGCCTTGAATCCGCATCAGTCCGCCCTTGTTCAGTTGAGGTTTGTGATGTGGTGCCCTCAACTGTCTTCTGTGATTGCTATTTTTCTTCTGAATCTGCTACATAGTTGATGCTCCTGGATGTAAGTTGATCCCCGTGGATTTGATATATTCCCCATGGTGATGAAAATTTAATAACTTGATGCAAGGTTGAAGGAACAGCATCCATTTCATGGATTCATGGTCTCCCAAGGATCATATTGTAAGCCATCTTCATATCTACTACTTGAAACTTTGTATCTTTGATACCTCCTTCTGTGAATGTGGTGAGTGTTACCTCTCCTTTCGTCACAACACTAGAATTGTCAAATCCAGATAAAGTATGCGCTTTTGGTATTAATTTATCCTCAGCTTGCATCTCACGTAATACTCTTAGCAAAATAATATTCACGGAACTACCTGGATCAATCAAAACTCGTTTCATATTAGTATCATGTACTAAAAAGATATTACCAGGGCGTCGTTATGAGGAGATAATACGCCATCCGCATCAGCATCATCGAATGTAATGTTGTCTTCCTCTAATACATGTCGCACCGGTTTCCCTTGAGTAATTGTGACTTTGAAAATTTTATTAGCTGCAGCATACGTTACGCCATTGATGTCTTCACCCCTGCTTATAACGTTGACGGTTCTTTTGGGAGAAGGTGGTTTAGGGGGTTCTTGCTTATTCTTCATATAAGCTTGCTTCCCTTTCTCACTGAATAGCTCGGTGAGATATCCTTGTTTTAATAAATGATCAACTTCACTTCGTAAAAATCTACAGTCTGTTATTTTATGCCCATGATCATTATGAAACTCACACCAATGATCAGGGTTGCGCCTATTTGGATTCGATCTCCTCTCTTTTGGCCACCGTACCTTGTCACCCATGATTCTCAAAACAGCTATGAGCTCGGAAGTGCTCACATTGAAATTGTAACCACCAAATCTCGCCTTCAAAGTTCTATCATCATCTCGTGACTCATGGGTGTTTCGATCATTTCTAAATCTTGATGAAGAGCCTGGCTCTCTATTTCTTGATCTATGATCATACCTTTGATTGTCTTGTTTTGACCGTGAATCTTTTCCCGCAGGTCCCATGTATGGCTCGTACCTATTTTTACCGTACCTTTTTCAGTTTTCGCCCGTCTCGGACTTACTTTTTCTTCTTTTTGGAATCGTGAAACAGTATCTTCTTCTATCCTTAGCTTCGTGTTATATCTGTTGTAAACGTCATTCCATGTTGTAGCTGGGAATTCACAAAGACTTTCCTTGAGTCGCCTCGTAGCTTCTGAGCTCTTTTCATTCAAATTACTTGTGAAAGCTATAGCTACCCAATTATCAGGTACACGTGGTAATTTCATTCTTTCACGTTGGAATCTGTCCACGAATTCCCTAAGCAATTCTGAGTCCCCTTGCTTGATCTTGAAAATATCTTTCATTCTTTTTTCGACTTTTTGAGCTCCCGAATGTGATTTGATGAAAGAATCTGCAAGCTTAGCAAAAGAATTTATAGAATTTTCGGGTAAAAGAGAATACCATGTTAATGCACCCTTGGAGAGTGTTTCACCGAATTTTTTGACTAATACTGATTCAATCTCCTTCTTGGTCAAGTCGTTGCCTTTTACGCCTGTTGTGAATGCAGTCACGTAGTCTCGTGGGTCTGTTGTTCCATCGTATTTTGGAATATCAAGCATTTTGAATTTCTTTGAAATCGGGAGGGGAGCAGCACTTGACTTCCAGGGTTGTTACGTGTATTTATCCGTATCTATCCCTTTGATTACGGGTGGCACCCAGGGTATTTGCTCTATGCGGTCACTTTGCTCCTTGAGCTGTTTCTGCAATGTTAGTACTAAATTTTGTAAATCAGAATTGACTAAGTTACCTGGTTCTCCCTCATGTGATTCGCTGGGGGTTCCACCGCTACCTGAGTTGACAAGCCCGGAACGAGGGTTCTCCAAAGTGTTGTTGTTTGGAGTGGGTGTGGGTGGTGCAGTAGGTAACTGGCTAGCAAAAGCTCAAGAGCTTTACTGACCTGTGCAGCAATTAGTTTCTGCAAAAACTTCATCGATAGCTTCAATATTTTCAAATTGAGCGTTTCCATTCGTATGAGATCCATCAAGAGAGCCTTCACGAGACCGCCGAGGAGAGCCTCGTGGAGAAGGGACCGGGGTTTGATTACCCTGTGGATTTCCCTGAAGTTGTTGGTTTCCTTGAATGTTGTCATTGTTGTTCGACATGGTTGATGCAACAAGGAAAGTTAAGCTAAAAGAGGATAGATTATCAGATTCCCGGTAACGGAACCAATTTGTTTAACCAAAAAGTGGGATTTCGGTCAAAGCGATATTTTAGTAGAACTTGGGTTACTGATAATCAAAGAAAGTATAGAAGAAAGTAATTTTACTAGCAATGATATAACCAGAAGAAAACAAGTAAATCAGTACATTCAGATAGTCTTTCGTGTCCCTTACAATTGGTCCACTCTCCCCCTTTTATAGCTATTTTGGGGATATGCATTTTGCCTTTATCATAATAAGGTCATTATGGACAATTAAAGACATTAAATGTTACGTTACATAATCATTGCATTTAATATAGATTCTCTAACGTTTTTAGTATTTAAGGCTCAATAAATAATGTATCTATACTCCCGTGAACTGTCAGATTCAATCCTTTGATTTTTGGACTTAAATAGGTACGGGCGTTGAATCTTTTGAGTATCTGCTCGTGCTTCCTCTTATGCCTCTGCTCGTATCTGTTGCAACTCGTGCCTCTTTGCCAATCATAACGTTTTGACCAATCTACGTGTCATGGCACGTCATCTTCCAATCACTTAAATGTGTAAACTCAATTTTTCCCAATACATCTATATAGAAGGAATGTGTTTCCAAGACCTGTTGATTTGTCCATATTCATTTTATGGAATTGCTGGTGTCCCTCATCATCTACAGTATGATTGGATTCGATTCTTCACAACTGATTATCCGGGGAAAATTCCTAGAGGAGCAGACGTCCCAAGCGATGATGCCGGTGTGGAGCATCCAGATGGATTGCCTAAATGATTTGAATCGCGGGTAACCGAAAATTTTAGTTTGGAATGTTTCTTTCGAAGTAAGAAAGTGAATGCTCATGTGCTTAAATTAGCGTTATTAGGCTGGCCAAGGGGTGTCAGTTTTCTGAGAAATTTTATTCAAGCAAGTGCTAGTCTGGTTTCCTCTAGGGCACTACTATGTCGTACAAGTATCATTAAGTATTTATCGTTGTTGTAATATTTTATACAACACATTAATTAATAACGGGAGACAAAAAGACAGGAAGGTTGCCTGCCTTTCTGGCATTCATGGAAGTGATTGAAGGCTTGTGGCGTATGTTCACCCAAGATAGCTTTTTCCTTGCAATATTTCACTCTCTCCAATGTGAGTTCAACCAAGAGTGTCGAAAATTTGTGTTAGTTTGTATTTCTCAGTTGAAAATCTTAAACATCTGAAAATCAAAATTGTCGGCATGAAAACAGAACTTTGTATAACAATAATTTCTGGATTAGCGTAAACTCACCCCCCCCCCCCCCCACCAAAAAAAGAAAAGAAATTTATAAACGTTTTAATTCATGGCAAGAGTACATAGGACTATTAGAAGAGAGTAACTGATATTTGTTCTCACCACAATTTTTTGTAAGCCACAGTATTAGCTAGGATGACCTGGCAACAAATAGCACAACTCCTAGAACAATTGATATAACAAGAACCAAAACAACAATCATGAAGCTAAAACTAGATAGTTTCGTAGATTTCTGGTCACTTCCCAAGCTCGTACCAGCTCTATTCTGCCTTGAGAGAGAAGTGTCTGGCTTCGGTAGCAAGGAATATGGAATTGACACCTCCTTAAATGATTTTGTAGTGGTAGATACCAATGCAGGAGCTTCAGTTTCAGGCTCCAAGATCTTGGCAGAATCGTTCGGGAACTCTATAGACATGAGCTCGGCAAAATGATCCTTGAGAACCTAAGTCAAACTATAGCACATCAGAGCTGAATGTATGTTATAATCTCAAAATTATGACATTGTTTAGTTGGCATTGAGCAATATGGTAGGTAAAAAATGATCTAACAAATACAGCTCAAACAATTAATTTACCAATTAACTTAGTTGCCAAGGGAGATCCAATTCTTTAGCAGTTGAACCTTTAATGTACAGCCCCATACACAATTATCACAGGGAGACAACAAAATGTTGCAGTAAGATCTCAGCAAGAGTGACATCGACAAAAGTGTGCTCATGGTTCAGTGAGATAAAGGAAGAAGCTTCAGTTAACGACAACCAATATAGAGAGGTATTGGTTGAATCATTTTTATCCTAAAAATTCATAAGGAACACATTCCTTAAGGCGGTCAACTACTGAAGAACTGTACAAGAATCATGTATTCTACCACCAAGCTCTCATAGTGTTTTAGAGATGCAAACAAGCAAAGAAAGAAGTGCCTGCAGCTTCAGTATAGTTACAGGACTTTGAAGTAGTGCCTATTCCAACACATTCAACATCAAAGACATAACTTCTTCTGCTTTTAAGGCAAAAAGGCAATAAGACTAAAGAAAAATGTCATTTATGTTTCATTATAAGACCAATAAAACAAACTATAGCTGAGAAATATTACTTGCTTCACCAAAGAATATGGGCACAACTCACCTCAACTGATTCAGACGGTTGTATATAGTCACAAAGGAATGTATCAGCCAGCCAGGGTAGAAATACTCTTCGAGGAAATGACAGGCTGCACTCTTTTCTGTTTAAAAGATCAAGTTAACCATTTCAGCATCATTAAGAAGCCAACTGCTACCGACTACCGTCCAGTAAAAGATGAAGGTCAAAGTGTGAGAAACTACAAATCTGATAAGCAAAATGAAATTCTTTTAATCTGAGATTTTAATAACAATAATCACGCTACTCTATAAAGAAAACTACAACAATATAAAAACGACTGTAATCATCATCGGTATGATCATCACGCCACTATGGTATGGAAACAACAGACAAGCTACTGACCATGATTCTCAGTTTAAATTCATTTAAATTCATCTAAGTCAGACCAACTACAGTACACACTAATGTTAATGATGGGGGATCTCCTGCACCAGGTTCAATTGTGGCCCAACTATACATACAGGAAGATATATGGCAAACGCATAACACTTCCACATGCTAGGAAAAAAAAAAGTGATCACCACTGAAAACAGAGGAACACTTGTCGAGAATGAGTTGTCACTATATGCCCCGAGTATCCCATATTCAACATGTAACGAAACAAACTGTGGCCCTGTATATTGACGTAATGGATCTTCCTTCTGTGAGTATAAGGTTATTTTCACCGACAAAGCAAAATAACTTAACTATCTGTACCTCATCAGGGAGTACATTTTGATTATGAATATGGTGTAAGCAGAACATGATAGAACGCTGCTCGGAGACAATAAACACAGCTAATGAGACCCACCAATAAGGTCAAAAAGAGGTCACATCTTTTTCAGTCATAGGGTCATAAATATGACCAATGAAAAATTAACTTTTGTAGTTCTACATAAGAAAATGATAGAGGAAGTGTCAAGTTCTCAATTTTGAATTTAAAGTTTATAAAGAGTCAAATGAATCTCTATAAAATACTAAAGCTTAGACCAGAAAAAAGATAAAGAACTAGAGAATTTTACAAACGGATGAGGATGTCATGGTGAAAAGAAGTCACAGAGTTGATTTTGGACATTTAGAGGAGAATAGATTCCATTAGACAGTGCTATACCTCAGTAACTGTAAATCAAGTTGCAGAACTGCACTCCCATTCAATATCTGGTTGCTGCTCTCTTCAGTTTTGTCATCTTTAGAATCTGATTCTCTGTCTGCCTCATCACACATGATATCCAATCTGCTTCTTAGACTCTTAATTATGTCTTCCTAAGCACCAAGAAGACCAGAAGTTAAATGCTGACCAAAAAACAAGAAGACAACCAGGATCCACGATTTAACATCAAGCAGAGCAAATGTAAGATAAATTCAAATTAACCACTAATCCAAACAGTAAAATACTCCTTTTGAGATAAAATCAACATTAAATCTAGAACCAGCTGTACTATGCATCTGTGATCTTGAGAAAACACAAAAGAAGCTTTCTGCTTCCAGTAATCCATCTAATATGCTCTGATTATATGGCTTTTTGGACGCCAACAAATGGAACCAGATCTATTGGAACATCTCTAACGTCCACGAATGCATAACCAAGAGAAATGTACTAAATTATTGAGTCCTTAAGCAAACACCATCAGATGCAAAGTTAGAATACCTTTATGTCAGTCAAAGCTTGAGAAACCAGTTCCTTCGAATTTGAGTAAGCATAGGAGCAGATAGAGCCACTGAAGACTAGAAGACCTATTACCTCCTTTTGGCTGCATGCTTCATAAAAACAAAATATAAAAAGAAAAGAATGAGAGAAAGATGAAATTATTTATACAGCAACTAGCTTATATTTAGTCAAATTCAAAAGAAAGGCTAATTGTGTAAATTGGAAAATGTTTACAGACCTTCCAAATACTTATCTTCCGTGAAAGGTAGGAGGAATTCAACATCATGTAAGCCGCCTGAATCAAATTGCTCGTCTTCAATTGCCTAGAAATGAAAGAAAAGAAGGTGAAATATAGCCCAGCATAGTTACCAGGGAAGGAGATCGGGTTCATATTTTGATAGAGGGTCAGCAAGCAAATCAAGTCTAAAGAAGCAGCCTATCACATATTTTAAGGCCACTTTGATATGTTATTTTACTCAAGAACCAGAACCATTTAGAGTGCGTCTTTTCTGTTAGATTCAAATGAAAGAAAGAAAAAAACAAGTGGCAACACCAGGAGGTAGTAAAATCATAAGGCGTGGACCTGAGGATGCAGAAGAGGAAAACTAGCATCCAAGTTTAAGGATATTGGTTGTTCTAGACTGATACCAGAAGTTCAGAGTTCATTACCAATTTCCCATCAATCAATGCCTTGGCACTTTTAAGCTCTTTGGCATGAATTGAAATTCCATGACGAAGAATGTCAGCCAATCTTTTGCTAATTAAATCCTCGGAAATGGGCAACCTGGAAACACATTGCTCAACCGTGACACAATTTTCTGAACTTCTCTGAGATCTCTAAAGGAATTCACTAAAAAGAATTAACAAACATAATTGATTTTTATAATTCAGGAAAAAACAGAAGGGTAGGAACAGGGGAAATAGTTCACGAGTTATATGGCGGTACTAACAAGGTAACACAAGTTTGAAGTGAACCATTTTTGTCGCAAACATGAACTAGGGGATGGTAACAGTGTCTTGAATGCACAATAATGGTTCCGATTTATCCATCAAGAGCCATGATTCTGACAGAAAATATCATATTTGACATACCTAATATTAGGAAAGTTAGAAAACTGAATATTTTTGCCACTGGCACGGTGGGTATACGTTAGTCTAGGAGATATATTATTTAGGGATACATCGAACGAAAAGCAAGTGTAAAGCAATAAAAAGTCAAAAACAGAGAAGAGAAAGTGTTTGACCTAATCTAGACGCAACCTCCAGTTCACCATCACATGGAGGTAGTAGTTTATTAATCATACTTCTTTACTGCACCAAAATGATCCTAACAGACTAAGAGTTATACTATAAATTGGCTGCAACCAACCAAAAGAGACGTTGAACACTTTATTGCGTACCACTTGATCTAAATTTGCAGCAGTTACACTTAATGGAACTAATATGATATTCAAATCCCCCTTCCTCTTTTTTCTCATCTCCCGTCCCCCTCCCTCAAAAAACAATCTCTTTCTTCCTTCTATCATACTAGTGCAGAAAAATATATCCAATGCCATACAGCCATACAAGCCAACAGTTGAACAACCAAAGTTTCCCAACATTTGAGACAAGCAAATTTTTGACTCGCGATTTTGGCTAATGTTCTTCAATGACACTAATATGACACTTCTCCTACCTCTCTACAATCCCACGGCAAAAGCGGAAGGATTTTTTGCCTCCTGGTCATGCCAAAACAAAAATATACTAACCAACAATCATACAATCAAAAATGAAACAAATGAGTTGCTTGAGATAGATGGAACTTCTTTTTTAATCTGAAATGTGGCACTAAGAAATCAGAGCTAGTGTTCTGTCCAATACATCAAAGAATGATATAGCAAATGAGCAATACCAGTAGCAAACGAAGTTCACCTTAAATCAAAGTTAAATGTGCATCTGAATGTCTGAAGGGTACTAAGAACTTTTCCCATTTTAAAGTCACAAGGTCGTAGACTACTCGACGTAATATTTGAAGCCAGCGAGCAATTTCGACAAGTCCACCTGGAATACATTGTTATCTGCTAAATCAATAATAAGGCCAACTTGAATATAACAACACATAGTTACACAAAGTTACCTCAAGGGACTGTAACCAATGTGAACAAGCAATCTCTCGTCCCAATCCACTTCCGACAGAGGGGCCGCTTCAGAAACTGCTTTTGCAGTCTTTACAGTTATACCATTAGCAAACGAGAAAGAGAGTAAGAATACCAATAATGATAGAATTTTTCATTGAAAAGTTATTACGAGTGATGGGAAATCGAAAATTATAAGTTTCATGTTTCACCAAATTTTTTCGGGAAGGTAACTGAAGTTAAAGAAAAAACAATGGAGACAGACTACACAAGAGCCTCATATTCAAGGAAATAACACAATACTGCAGTTCTGATAGACCTTCAGTACGAAGCGGTGAAGATGACTATAACTTCAAGTTATCATAGCAAAACCTGACAAAGTGTGATGGTTGAATTTTTGAATGAGCTCTCATTGGTCCAGACATAGATGCCAACCACCTTCATGCCACCCAATAGCATTCTCCCTACCTGAAAGATAAAGATATTAAACCATAAGCTACACAGAGGATTTTACATGATTTATAATATGCCGATGATTCACTAAGATGGCCTTTTCCATGAAATCTGAAGTTAGTGTCCAAAAGATTCAGGAAACAAAAAATTGACAAATCACTAGCAGAACATCCTAAGGTAAGGAGGGCAGGAGGAACTTTTTAAATCTGATATACCTATTTGAATGTTCTGACAAACAGAATTCATACACAAGTCTACAAAATTAAGAAAACAGATGGTAGTTTGTCGGGTAGAGAAGGTATTTGCATTATACAGAGTAGCAGCAGTAGAAGAATTATTGTTGCGTAATTTTAAGGACATCACAGAAAATGAAAGGCGCTTTACTGTAGGCACCAAGGCGCTACATGCACCTCAACACCTGCACGCTCTGTCAAGCAAAGGGCAGCACTAAATAATAAGAAGTCAGCAAAGCTATATTTTTAATTGTTAGAAGATAATGATATGTTTGTGAATAGGAAGAGAAAACAGAAATCTACAATTAGAAAACTAATCACTAATTTATATTTGGAACTTACAAACATATTTTAGCATCTGAATCGGTTCGGATTCATGCTGGGGCGGTCGACTACGGAAGCTATTCATCTTGTGTGGAGATTGATGGAGCAGTATAGGGAAAGGGAGAAAGACTTGCATATGGAGTTCATTAACCTAGAAAAAGCCTACGATAAAGTCTCAAGGGAGGTTTTATGAGATGTTTGGAGGCTAGCGGAGTTCCAATAGCTTACATTAGGGTGATTAAGGATATGTACCACGAAGCTAAGACTCGGGTGAGGACTGTGGGAGGAGACTCGGATTATTTCCGAGTGATAATGAGGTTGCATCAGGGATCAGCTCTTAGCCCATTTTTGTTTGCCCCGGTGATAGATGTGTTGACGCGACACATCCAAGTAGGTGTGCATTTGAATCGGTTTATTGATAAATCGAATCGATTATTTGTTATCGATTTATTGATATCGATTTATCGATTTCGATTTCGAAAATTTTCTTATCGAGTTATCGATTTCGATTTCGTCCTCTCCAGTTATCGATTTATCGATAAATCGATAAGATATACTAAAAAGACAACGAAACCTTTATTCTATAATACCCTTTTCCTTTACCCTAACTTATTATTTCCACTTTCCTCTACCCTTATTATTTCATAATTTCCTCTACCCTAGCCTATTATTTCATTTCACCCGCTCAGCCGCTTTTGTCCTCTCCAGATTCTGAAGGCTGAAGTTCCTCAAGAGTCAAGCCTCAACGTTTTTAGCAGAATTGTTCACTCAAAATTCCTCCTTTTTCGGTTTCTCCCACAGATCTGGTAATTCTCTTTCTCCAAATGGGTTCTTTCAGTTTTTAGAATTTTGTTCTTCACGTTTTTCTTGTTTGCATTTCACAGATCTTGTTTGTATGTGTTTCGTTAGTTTTGTACTTGAGAATAATTGAAATGAATGCTTTTATACACATCCTCTGTTTGGTTATATTGTATCTATAAGAGTTCAATCAGCTCTTTTAGTTCATCATAAATGCCCTTTTTTCTTGAATTTCAGTTAAGTTTTTTATTTTTATTTTGATATGTAGATTGAAGAGCGAGGAGTGCTGACTTCGTCTTGCTTTGCTTCATTCAACTCGTTTAACCGTTTAAGACTGTAAGTTACATTCTTCGTTCACTTCACATGGCTGAAAATGATAAAATTGATAAAGTGGTTGATGAAAGTAGAGGTTCCGAGTCTACTGCTGCAACTACTCACTCGACAGTTACAAAACAAAGGAAAAAACGATCTCGGGCATGGGATTTTTTTGAAGAAAAAGTTGATGCTAAAGGAAATAATAACTATGTATGTAGATTTTGTGGACAAGAATATTTTGTGACAAAAAGCAAAAGTACGACACAAATGAATAGTCATGTCGATAAATGTCCAAAGAATCCTTATAAAGTTGAAAAAGATCAAAAACTATTACAATATCAAGCATTATCGGGGGGTAATAAAGGTGATCTTATTCCATGGAAATTTGATCAAGAATAGTGTAGGATGGCCTTGTGTCGTATGGTGATTGTTGATGAACTTCCATTTAGTTTTGTTGAGAAAGAAGGCTTTAGAAACTTTATGAAAGTGGCACAACCTTGTTTTCATATTCCTTCCCGTATTACTGTTACATGGGATTGTTTTGCTCTTTTTAATGTGGAAAAAAATAAATTAATCAAGTTTCTTAAAGGAACAAGTCAAAGAGTAAGTCTTACCACTGATACATGGATTTCTATTCAAAAAATTAACTATATGTGCATCACAGCCCATTGGATTGATAGTGAATGGATTATGCATAAAAGAATTATTAACTTTTCTCCAATTACTAGTCATAAAGGTGAAGATATGGCAAGGTGTATTATTGATTATTTGCGTGAGTGGGGTTTGCAAAAGATTTTCACTGTCACAGTTGACAATGCTAGTTCAAATGATGTGACCGTGGAGAAGTTGTCTGACAAATTAGATGATTGGGGAACCAATTCCATGAATGGTCAACACCTTCACATAAGATGCATGGCTCATATTGTAAATCTTATTGTGAAAGATGGTTTAAAGAGTCAGGTATTTCTATTGCTCATGTTAGATGTGTAGTCAGATACATTAGACAGTCTCCTGCTAGGTTGAGGAAGTTTTAGGAATGTCGTGAAAGTGAAAATATTGTCAAGAAGTCTTTATGCTTAGATGTTCCTACAAGGTGGAATTCCACCTACTTGATGTTGAGCAGGGCTATTGAATGTGAGCATGCAATTAAAGAATATTCTGAACGTGATACCGGCTTGTCACGTTATCTTACGTTTGATGCTATTTCAGATGGAAAGCCTGTAAGTTTGCTTACAAGAACTGATTGGGATGATGTAAAGAGAATTGCACAATTTCTTGAAATATTTTATAATCTCACTTTGAAGGTGTCTGGATCACTTTATGTAACATCGAATTCCCATTTTCTTGAAATTGGTCAAGTTGTTGTTTACTTAAATCGATTAATAACATCTGAAGATGTACTTTTGAGTGAGATGGCATCAAGTATGTGGAAATAATTTGAGAAGTATTGGGGTGAACCAACAAAAATGAACAAAATGATTTCCATTGCTTGTGTTTTGGATCCTCGGTACAAGTTTACTACTGTTAGTTTTGTACTTAAGAAGATGTTTGGAGATGAAGGGACAATTATTGAAAAAGAGGTTCATACTTATATGAGTTCATTGTTTAGTGAGTATGTCTCTTAAGTCGGTTTCAAAAGATACTGGTGGTAAAGTTTCTACCTCTTTGCCAAGCTCTTCATTCAGCACAATGGAAACTTCAACTCCTGGTTTAGGTAAACTTTTAGATGAAATAAGGAAACATAAAGTTGCAAATGGTGGTGTAGATTCTAAAACAGAATTGGAAAAGTAACTTGCAGAAGATCCTGAAAATGAAAGACCGGACTTTGATATCTTGGCTTGGTGGAAGGTGAACTCACCTAGATTTCCTATTCTTGCTAAGATGACTCGAGATGTGCTTGTTATTCCTATTTCAAGTGTGGCATCTGAAAGTGCATTTAGTACCGGAGGGCGTATTCTTGACCAATTTAGGAGTTCATTAACTCCTAAATTGGTTGAAACTCTAGTGTGCCTTCAAGATTGGCTTCGAAGTGAATCGCTTCCTGTAAATGTTGAGGAAGATTTAGATTTTCTCGAGACACTCGAGGAAGG